CAATATTGTCGCAGTATTAACAGATATTCACTTAAAATTATTTAAAACGAACATATTTACGAGACGACGTTTTGTTATAACATTACGCTATTCAGAAATGTAAAAATCCAGCAACGAATTTCGTAACTTTCTCGACAAGAGTTAATATTAGTGTTGCAACGAATAGTATATTCGGCCAAACTATTCGGCTTGATTAACGCATGTACGAAAATTGGGGCGCAAACCGCATTATGGTAAGGACCCCGCTCTCCATTGGCCCACTGTCACTACGCTTCTCCAATCGCGTTAATTCTTACAGTTGTAGTGGACAGACAAGACCGTCATGGCCGTATGTGATAAGTGATGATATCAAATGTGGATAACAATGAAATGACCTACACATGTAAATAACGGAAAAAGAACAGAGAAGGACCGCGAAGTGAAAATGTGAAAATAAATATGAAATTGAGTTGATAACATAATCGAACAAGTCGAGGCAGCTTATTGGCGCGAAATTCGCGGCTGTCAATGTCAAACAATTGTTGTCATAGACTTCGGAAAGCTAAATGCTTGTAATGAAAGACGCTTAGCATGCACGGGCGAAAGCCTGGGGTCGTTCGGGCTACCAAGCTGTTTCGAATCTGTGAAATCATAACTGTGACTTATACCTACGTCCTATCTGTCTCTTTTCTCCCTTATCACCAGGCTATGAGTCACTTAATTGGAAATCTACGACGGAAAAGTGAGGAGTCGAAAGTATCGTGAGCGCTATTATGATGTATGCATACGTGGCCTATAGCGATAGAGGAAAGAGAAAGGAAAGAGCGCTAAAAAAGAAGGATAGTCAGGGTCAGACCTCAGATGTGCGACGATTCTCGAACGAATAGGTGTGTACGTGTGCTGAAATTGCGAATACATGTGACTAATATTATTTTCTTTATTTTGTGCATGTTATAAGTTATAAATAAATATAAACAAACAACACTAACCCGATAACATTAAATCTAAATACCAAAATGATTAATTTACTATGTTTTTGTTATTTCTTACTCCTGTTTTTAGGTATTCGGTATTCGGCCGAATAGTGATTAAATATACGGTATTCGGCCGAATAGCGAAAAATAGGCCGAGTAGGCCGAATACCAAATAGTAACCGAATATTCGTTACATCACTAGTTAATATCCATCTGTTATAAGATTTTATTTTAAAAAGTTGTATATGCTAATAACGATTTAAAACCGCGTATGTGGCGCCATCTGCCGCGGCATTTTATTTAAAAACTTTTTATATTTTTAATTATTATAAAACGACAAAAAGCTTAACTTCGAAGGTAGAGACGGATTTTATTTTAAAAAGTTGTGAATGCTAATAACGAGGAAAAACGACGTTGAGTCCGACCCTACTCGAAATACGACACACAATCCCCTTCATCTACCTACTGCAGCTNATTTAACTTTATGATGTAAAAAACATAAAACAACATAATATAAAGCTTTCATTTTAATCAGTCTCGACAGAGATCTTAGATGGTTAAAAAATTGTGTAATTAAAAATAATTAATATTAAGTATAAAATATGTTAGGAATCATGAAGTAAAAATGTCAAAAATTCCATCTTGCCCTCACCCTGAAGGCAAGATGGAATACATAGGATATCCCTACATTTTACAATTGACACATAAAAATCATCCATCTTTTGTGTCTGAACATAGTTCATGTGCCCAACCACAACACACTGGACACTGTACCCAGTCCTATGTGGGCGGTTCCACATATGGTTCTCCACATAATACACAAAACCTTCATCCATCGCAACCTGCAGTTTCTTCAGTCCAAGAACTTCTGTTGCTCTTTCTTATATACTTGTTCATCATCTAAAAACAATTACATCCTCAACTAGTTAGATAAATTGAAAACATAAATCAAAATAATTGCGCGCGGGCAACATGGAAACTATTCCATCTTGCCCTAAAATGCAATTTTTCATCTTGCCCAAATCCCCTTTACCAATAATAATATCAACGCTTTAAAAATCCTTGAATTTTTTTCCTCTTTAAATATCAATTCATTCAATCTATTCCTAATAGGTATTTTGTATAAAAACAAAATAGCAATACTTACCTTGTAGATATAAATAATAACACTGCAAAAGTCTAATGATTGCGTAATAATCTGCTGCGAAATAAGAAATACTTGAACACGTCACTTGGTGGCACCAACCTGTCTGAGTCGCCATTCGTAAATACAAGATATCCGGGTGTCTCTGTGTGCATGGAGATTCGGGTACTATGTCGCGCGGTTCGGGGTGGGTAAGTACCGGTAGTTTCCATCTTGCCCACCCTTTCCATCTTGCCATTCCTTCCCCTAAGTAGATGTACTGTGTCAGCTATTTGATATTTAATTAATTTAAAATACTGTCCAACAAGAGTTTATTTTAGTTGTAGTGTACAAGGAAGATATGTTTTAAACTAGCAGGTGGGCCCGGCGTTGCTCGGGCAAAAGTAACGATAACTAAGATAAAGATTATTACGTTACAGTCAACCTTACCCGTTTTCACAGAATGCAAGAATTGAGTCCCCTTGTTTCCAGACTAATTAGAGAACTTTTAGATGGTTCTAAAAATATGTTCGATTTCCCGCAAAAACGAAAGAACTGCATCTGCGCCTGTAAATCTTGCACGTCGCTTTCTCTTAACAATACCATTGTTACGTAACACTTCCATTGTTACTTAAAACTTCCATTGTTACTTAACACTTCCATTGTTACCTAACACCGCCATTGTTACTTAACACTTCCATTGTTGATGGAAGTGTTAAGCCTTAATCCTGTCTTTCTCTCCCCCCGGGAAGAATTTCGAAAAATCCCTTCTTAGTGTGCGTTTTCGTGACGTACCCTATCTATGTATCAAATTTCAACTTTTAACTCCTAACCGTTTGGGCTCTGCACTTATTATTATTATCATTATCATCAACCCGTCTCGATTATATTATAGATTATAATCTATATGATATCATTATTAGAGCAAGTAATCTTATCGAATGTCCTTATATAATGAGAAAACAATCGTTATTGATTATTTTATTGTTCTAAATTAATATTGTTTATTCGTCTGTAGGTAAGGATGAGTCATTGATATTTTACCAACGCCTCGAAATTTATATGTATTATGTGAATCAGCAATTATTTATTGTGACAACTAATAAGCCCCTGTACATCATACCTTTCCGTTAGCAATAGAGTCGCGCAGGTCACCTATCTAAATCCTTTCAGGGGAAAATTTTCGAATTGAAATAACGTAACTTCCGGTTTGCACCGGAAGTTCCTGTATAGTTAATCGGGTTCTCCTGCTCCTGGTGTTTCCATATCTGGTCTCGAAATTTATCGATCTGACTCCGTTCTCGAGATTAAGGAAAGACAGATAGAGAATGACAGTGAGAATTTATAGGTCTCCAATTTTTCAAATTGCAGTTCAATAAACCAGTTTCAGAAGATATAGTAGTCAGTAGGACATTTGAATATTGATTTTGTGAAATAACGTGTTCATTTGTTTACTTTTTCCTTTCTGTGGCACTAAGAGGGCCTTTTAATCAAGGATATCCTGGGTTCGACCTTGCCTACGATAGGAGGCCGAGTGATGATGTAGCACTCCCAAAAATTATTGGGATTTTTCAATCCGACTATATTCGTTCCAGGGTCCCCTAGAGCGGCAGGCTGACATCTTAACTGCTTGGCCATCCGGCTTTTAAACATGCTCATTACCGTTTTTAGAGGGTTTTCAATTATACAGCATAGTTAAGCACCGTATCATCTTATTAAAGAGCTTGCTTAAACAAATCGGAAGCATACAGTGAGTACCTGAAACAAAGTGTACAACAATGTCTGCAACGTTCAAATTCCATAAAAATTATTGAATGTCATGAAAATACACAGACGTCAGATAATCTGTGGTCCTTTTGTGCCGAATTAACGAACTTCTACAACGTAAAACATTTTTAAAACATAGATGTGGTGTGTTTAGTTAGGCCTCTTTGTGTGGTATTTTATTATTTAAATCTCTTTTTTTCTAAGAACGTAGTATTATTTTACGACATCGAACTAAGGGAAAACAGGAGGGCTGGCTTAACGACGATTTCCAGTACCAATTAAATCGAAAAAATCGAGGTATATCGTATTATATTTTTATGGGGATCCCAAACCACGGCTCTAGGGCCTTAGCTGGCCTTCAACAGTGGTGCGTGTGCAAAAGGGGCAATTGCCTAGATCCCCACTATATCCCAAACCAATCTTTTATAAGAAAATATTTCTTCCAAGAAATTCCCTCGAAGAAAAATATCTGAAGTGGGACCCCTTATTTAAATTTACCAGGACTCCATGAAGTTATAACGGTCCACTGGCCTGCAAAATAATTTTATTTGTTTCTCGTGAAAGGTATTATATATATACAGACACAGGATACAATTAGAAAATACCAAAAAATCATTATAAACGAGTGATAAAAACCCGTTGAGCTTCATACAACGGGCATCTATAAACCATAAATAAACTTTTTAAAACACTGTTGAAATGTCTCCATCACAATTCATTAGAAAACTGTCTGCGAGGTCGTTTCCAAAGAAGTTTGGTTACCTCAGCATTTTAACAGGTATACAAATATAGACTTTTCTTCTTACAAACATCTCTATAACACGGAGAAAGTGTTTATTACGAGCGGTTTTACTGTACAGTATATATATACAGTATTTTACTTGTTCTGCCCTTCCATATAAAGTTCTGTAGTTTTTCTATAGAGAAATATTTAGTGTTTATTATAAAATTGTTTCTAGTTTAATTATAAAGAGACACGTGTCAAGTTGTTAGAGCCGAAAGCCTTAGTTTTTATGGAAAATGATAAAAAAAAAAACGTATTCCATTAGAATCACTGACCTTGTAAAACTTATTGTAATGACATTGACATTAATACGAGAAAGCGACACCAGATGGCGAGGATATAAGTAGTATTTTAAACAGAGTGTTGTGTTACTTTATATAGAAAGAATTCTCTTCGATGATTGAAGAGTTTCAGTGATTTGTATTAATTTATAATGGTTAAAGGCATTAAAATTAGTATATATAAATGATAATTTGTGTCTATAAAATTTGCCATTTGAATCTATTGTAACATTTATTGATATTTTAAATACTGGTGAGTCAGTTAAACAATATTTTTATCATTTTACTCGTAAATTAATATATAAGGTTAGAAAATTTATTTAATATTTATTAATACATAATTTAAAATTATCTAAGTAAAATTAATAGAAATAATTAATGGCTGATAAATACAGTTGATTAAAACAATAGATTTTTATTAAGCTCTTTATATTAATATTCAAGAATTGAAGTATAATATAAGTATATAAAATATTTATATTATTTATAGCTAAAAAATTTTTAACTGGTTACAATGATTTTTATCAAAAATAAACTTTTTTCTCAAGCTTAAAACTGTTAGATTTCATATACTATATATTAATATGTATTGTAGTGTATATAATTTTAAATAAAATTTACAAGAACATTAAAATCAAAACCAGAAATATATCATACAAAATAACTTCAAGCATTGTGATAAATATACACTTATTGTACTATGTAGACGTATAACTAAACGGTCGTATTTATACCGGATATACCGTATACTATAACAAATTTTCGGAAGCTCGTATAAAATATAACAAATTATCTAGTTTATTAATTAATTAAACAATCTAAAAGGTCTTAAAGGTCTAATTAAACAATCAAGCATTTAGACAGAAAAGTAAGAGTGTGTGTTTAATACAAGAGTTGACATGGCTCATTGATAACAATAAAGTTAATGGTATGACAGGAAACATGTGTTTATGAAGGAATTATAACTTAACGTATAAAAATAATCGTATTACATTTGCTTGTTAATTAATACATAAAATATTATTCTAGTTAAAATGTTTTCTAAGAATTACATTAATTTAAAGTAGACGCCTTATATTTGACCTATCACGTATATTCATGACACAAAGCATTATATTTCTAGTAGAAGAGCCGGTTTTCAGAGGAAAAGTAATAGAAGAATGAAATTTTATAGTTAATAATTTTTGATTTTTATTAAATCTAGTTTTACTGATTAGTATTTTATCATCAAAGTTTTACTTTATTGATGTTATTATTACTGAGCAACAGTAGCGACTAACAATGATGACAAGCAAGGCTTTCCATAAATTTATTTATTAAAGTAAATTATTTTGCTAAAGACAAGAACTTAATAAATAAAAAATATTCATTGAATTACGTTTTTAAGTTTATATTTATGATAAATTATTTAGAATTTCCGAGTTTTTTCCCCCTGTATGTATGGATGTTAGTGTGTATTTGTGTTTGTAACACGATTTTGTTCACCCTGTTTGAAGCTTAATAAATCCTATGCTTTCTGTCGAAAATTTCTGAAACTTTTCAGGAAGGTTTGTGTATTAGGAAAATTGATGCTATTAAATTTCGGTGGTTAAAGATTAAGGGGGTAGGGAGATAGAGGGGGCAATGTGTCAAATCTCGAGTGAGTGGACTTAATGAAGATTTTATTCCTTATTATTATTATTTTGGTTTTTAATAAAAGTCATCTCTATCCTCACAATTAAACTTCATGCCATTTTATAATAATAATTTAAAAAGTTTTTTTTAAATAAAGTATCATAATAGATGACGCCACACACAATTTTAACTCTTGCCGGGAAAGTTACGCAACTTGTTGCTGAGTTTTTAATATATTAATTGTGTTTTATTTTGGCATAAAGCTTATAGAGGCTAAAGTATTTTATTGTTTTTAAATCTCAATTTTGATACAGACGTGCGGCATTAAAAAGTGCATATTAGATTAGTAAATATAGTTAATTGGTATACAATTATATATAATCGAATTGTAGCAAAAAAATAATGCATTATGACAGTAGTTAAAATATGTATTTCTAGTTACAGGTATAGACTTTCGTATCCGCAAATGAGTAAATGGGGCAATTGCGCCCTAGAATCGAATAAAAATGCCACAAATTACAATCGTAAAAGTGATCGAGATACGTAACCTTTCACCCTCGACCGTGGGGTGCTTTGATACAATACTGTATTCTATAATCTGCTTGTGAAAAACCCAAAAAGTTAAATAATTAAATAAAAATTTAATGATGAAATTATGTCTTCAATATGTAGTCTATTAATTGAAGTAAACTATAATAAAACAATGTAAGTAGAATTTAATAACTAATGAGTGATGCATACAGGCCTATATGCATTACTTCATTGAATAAATTTCTATAATAATAAGTAAGAAATAGACAATCAAACTATGATTCAATTAATGAAATATTATTTAATATAAAGTGAATATATTTGAATATTTTTTAATAATTATAAAATTTAATAAATAATTTTATAATTAAAAATTTCGAGTAATAATAAAGCTTACATCTTGAATATTAAACATGAGAAGAAAGAACAAAGGAATGTCTGTTTGTTTGTTTGATTTAAATTATGATGAAAACTTATAATTTGCTTTTAAACGATCCACTTGGTTCACTGAATCTTTAACAATCTTTCCTGTCTGTTCGTATGACATAACCGGTTCAAGGTCTTTTATAACATGTTTGTTTTCAGGTTACTTAACGGATTAGTTCAAATTTTTCTTCGGATTACTATCGGCTATACTAGTTTGGTACGTTGTGTTAAATCTAATCAAAAGTCCCATAAAAAATAAAAATTTTATCTTTTATCTATCTTAATTATTAGGACATGTTAGATTTTTAGTTTAAAAACTAAATAAATAAAGTTGACTAACTCTCCCTATTAAATCACGTCAATCTTACTGATTTCTATATTAATAACACCTTTTTACAGTAATCTTTTACTGTTTATTCAATAGACACTCAGCAAAAACTCGATTATCTGTAAAAATACCAAAAAAAAAAAAAACTAGAATGTGTAACTTTGTATATGCCACAAAGTATAATACACAGAGACCGAACTCTTCATGTAAGTGGAAATTATTACGTTATTTTTCGATTATAGCGAAACTGGGTCATATACTTAACATTACGTTAGAGTTTGAGTAAATTAATTTACTTTCAAATACAGTAATTGAATTACAGTATCCTATTTATAGTTCACGAAACTTTAAATACGCGGTGCTTGATGACCGAAAACACAGAAACAAACGAGTTTCTGGATTATCCGAAAAACCTCTAGTAAAGTTCGGATAATCGAATTTCCATTGTAGTTCAGTTCAGCCTTTGTTTCTTTTTTCTACGTAAATGACAATTTATTGTAAACAAATCTGTGAAGTATAATAAATTTCGTTCGATTTTTTGAATATTTTTACATGAATTTGTTTTTCTCCTTTTTTAATTTAATTGTTAAATTTTAATTATTTATACTTTAAAAAATGTATATGAACACCTTTATAAATTGGGTGTTAAAAAAGACATTCGGCATTTATATAGTAGATAATATACGCCATATTGAGTAAACATAAGTTGATGACGACCGTTTCTGAGATAAATAATACGACAAAGACACGGAGTTTTCGAGAGACAATGGCGTGTTATCCTATGGAGGAAAAGAATAATTGCCAGGGCCCTCGTCAACAAGAGCACCAAAGCAACCTTTTATAAGAAAATATTTGCCCAAAACAATTCCTCCGAAGAAAAATGTCTGTAGAGTACATGGAACTCCCTAATTCAAATTCGCTTAGTCCCCGTGAAGCTTTAAGATGGCAATACCAAGCATACAGTACATGGAAGTGGAAAGAAGACGCAAGGAACACCTTGTGTAAGTATCAAGGTAAACATGTGGCAAGATTACTTTCTCTTTTCACGTCGCATGTCACACGAAGAAGCCATAAGTCAGTCATGATTGGCCTAGTAACATACAAAACTGTTAATAGGTCGAGTTTTCGACTTACGTTTACTATAGTTATTTTCATTCACTATCTACCGTATAAATGCTGAATGATTTTAAATAGTATTGTATGTATACATAATAATATTTTTTCCAAGTATCAATAAGTTAAATTGAAAAAGTTATCATGTTACACTATTGTATCTGGAAAAATCTTCACGTGATAAGATTATAAAATGATGTAATTTGAGGAAAGTAATATGGTAACAGGAAAAAAAATCATATTACTTTTTTCGTTTATAACATTTCTCAATAAGTTGTGAAATATTTTAAGTTATTAGACTCTCGATTTAACTCACAAAAAGATTTCTATCTTAAAGGAAAAATTTAAAACCTCATTTTATTCGCAGATGAATTATATAATATACTCAATGTACATTATAATATAATATAATAATATTTTATTTATACATTATAATAATACAGTAAAACTTCGATTTAATGAATAATTCGTCTTCGGATGATGATGTATGGAAACACTCTCGTTGTGAAGTTAAGAGCAAAAATAAATAAATAACTTGTTAATTTAATTACATATAAAAAGCATTTTAAAATTAACAGGATGTTAATTTTATGGACATGACATATGGACCGGAAATTTTGTTCGTTAAATGGAGGTTTTACTGTAATTTAATACAGTACATGCTGTACGTTGTAAGATTCAGGACCGGTGCTAACGTGTAGGGCGCCTTTGTGCAAACTACTTTTCAGATCCCTTCGCCAAACATAAGATATTTATAAGTTATATCATATATAAACTTATCGTTAGTATATAAGTTATAGTATTTTAAAGCAAATTTCTTAAGGACGGCGAGGGATGAGGAGATCCCCGCATTTTAACAAAAATAATTGTCATTTTGTTTTCATATTTTGATATTATTTTTCATATGAAGCGGGATTTGTCCCCGAACTTCCTCTTCCTTATAAACGACCATTGTTTCTATAGTATAAAAAGGAAAATTAAAATATGATTTGATATTGATTACATTTTATTTTATAATTCATATTTTTTTCTGTATTTTTATATTTAAATAATTACACCATCTTAATTTTTCTCCAACCCATTAAAAGTTCTATTTTTACAGTGTATATTTTTACAATATTATATAAAAACCTAATTAAAACGAACAGTGTGTATAGCGAACAAATACCTTCATATATATAAATGAGTATGTTTGTTTGTTTGTTAGCTATACATTCCTAGGCCGTTCGACCAATTGCTACGAACTCAGCAGTTACGTTCACGTATTATTCTAACTTAGTTAATGTTATAAATATCACCCCAAAATATTTATTGGTTATTTTATATATCAATTAATTTGTTTACCTTCCATTTGCTGGGCTTACACGTAGTGCCATCTATTGGTAAATTATTTAAGAAAATAATAAACTAAATTTAATTCTTAAAATAGATATAATTTAAATTTATATGTATTATATTCATNTTTTGTTTCTTAATCGTTACCCCATTTTGAGATATTTATCGAAATGGACGCCAATAGATACATATCCACGGAATTTCTTTGCTGTTTTTTATTCGAGAGGTCTTAAGACATGGAGATTTGCAAAAAGATTAAAATATCAAATTTGACACGACTACAATACTCTATTTTGTTATCTATACATAACGGTTGGAAAAATATCAGAAAGCAAAATGTAAATTTATATGTATTATATTCATTCAATTACTATGGCAATTGAGTGAATATGATATTGCGCGAAGTAGACACGCTAAATTATTATTACGACAGGTAACACATAGCACTTGCATGCGTGTAATCGAAAGTGTTACCCTGCGAAAAGTCTATAAGTACTGTATTTAATTTTCTACATCTAACGACTCGGGTGTTTTTATTTTCGAACTGTGCTTCATTCTAATAAGTTCCCTCCAGTAACGGAGTGGATAAAACCATCGAACTCTGGTAGTTAGTCGTGGGATTGGGCCACGTGGAGTTTTCCGGGTTTTCTTCACAATAGTAATACTTAAATAGGGTCCAGTTTCCCATAAAAGTCTTCCTGGGATGTATCTCCTTTAGCAGATTGCTCAGTTATCGCGTTACGATAACCGAATAAACCAAACTAATTTTAACGAGCTATTAGTTATTGTTACATCGTCACAATACCGAGCTGTAACTTTTCCTCACAATATTTTCAATTTTTTTTGGTGTCTTGCCCCTGTACATCATACTTTTCCTGTTAGCAACAGAATCGTGCCGTTTATCTATCTAAAGCAGTGTTTCCCAAACTTTTTTAGGCCATGCCCCACTTTAACATTTCTAAAATCATCATGTCCCCCCATACATAATTTTAGTTATAAAATTTATTTTTGTTCTTTTTAGTAATATGAATGATAATTTTAAAGCGATTTCTTACAACTGTTGTCAAAACANTTGATGATTTGGTGTCGAGATAAGTTAGGTGGCTTTGTTTCTAAACAAAATCTGAAATAAATAGGTTTAGATTAGGTTTTAACCTTGTTTTTTAATGTAATTTAAGTGCTAATTAGGTAGATTTATTGTATTATACGATGAAAAAAATTAAGGAAATTAATTACCGAATATACATTAAACAGATTTTAAATATCAGATTGAATTATCTGTAATAAAAAATTAAAAAGATTTTACTGCTAATAATATCAGATACATTTTGGCATTTATAGTTAATGTATAGAAAAACAAGTATTGAATTAAAAAATTATTTACATTTTTTAAACTTGTTTATTGAATCGTAATTATTAAATTGATTATAAATACACTTGACAAACGTACTATCACGTGGTTTTCTGGTTTTTCTTTACGCGTATAATATCTAAATACGGCCCAACTTCTTATAGAAAGTCTTTCCCCGAAATATCCTTTTGGCAGATCATGTCATCTTATCTCATCAATCCCATCTTTATCGAAGGAGAAATCACGTGTATATTTCTAATTGAAAATAAACAGCAATTTTATAAATTAATATAGTTTGAGGTACACCAAACTCCTTAGAAGCCTTTTTCCTATTCCAATATCTTATTTCTAATTGCTTCTATGGCTTTTTCCAGTTTTCAACTTCTCCCATGGAACTCATGGTTACTTGGAACCATCTGAGACATGTTTTCAAATAATCTTAATTAGAAAAAGGAGTTTTTAATATTATATATATTATTTTATCTATTTCTAAACTATATTTATATTCTATAAATATATATGTATATGTCTGATCTAAACCTATTTATTTACAAGGAACTATACAGGAACTTTCGTTACAAACCGGAAGTAACGTTATTTCAATTCAAAAATGTCTCCCCCCGAAAGGTTAGATAGATGACCGACACAACTTTATTATTAAAGGAAAAGTATGATGTATAGGGACAAATAACTACTAATTTAAAGAGGAAAGCATATATTTTAAATTAAATAAATTAAAAATTTGATTAAAAATTGCATCCTGGCATTGTGACGATGTCACAATGCCAGGCTGCAATTTGTGCTTTTAACAAAACATATCTTTTAATTAAAAACTTTGTTACCTCCTTTATACTGAAAATAGCAGGTTTGCATGTGAGCTCCTTGGTCTCCCTCATCTGCTCTATTGCATTTATTACTTCGACATTATTTTATAAATATTTTAACGATAGTTTAAACTAAATCTTATTTTAATTGTGTAATCTGAATTGCATAATTACGCCTTTTTAATTAGCGCAATCTGAGTAGTGGCATATGTAAAGTACTGTACGTCATTCATTGCGCTCAATATTATACAAAGATTTCCCCTCCAAATTCATTGAACATCAGTTATACCATGATTATAGGATTGATTATAGGATTGATACTTTAAAACATACTGCAAAAAATATTTTATTCTTCATGAAACGTTTATTCTTATTATATTTCACTACTATTATTGGAACTTCTTGTAATGGGATAGCCATTGTAAGTTCTTTCAAAACACTACTATTACACTGGACTAAATAAAAAATCAGCTAAAAATATGATTTATTATGTAATAAATAAATTAATAATATAAGTGATTAATATTTGCAAAGAATTTTTATTTAATGCCGTTATTTAGTAATACGAATTCTTTACTTACAGAATTAAGATTAATGGATTTGTATTGCATCCAACGTGGTTTGTCTTCTTCGTTTAAACACCTTGGAAGATTTATTGGCAAATATCCAAAATGGTTTATCGTTCTTTCAGTTATCTCTAGTTCTATTATTTCTTTAGGAAACATTTGGATTAAATTCGAAACTGAATTTCATTATTTATTTAGTCCAATTAATGCACGAGCTTACAAAGAAAGAGAAATTGTAGAAAAATTATTCCCACCAAATAGATCCGTTTATTTTGATTTTCTTCGAATGACCGATCAAGGAAGATTTGCTTCAGCCATAGTAATTCCAAAAGATGGAGGCAGTATATTAAGAGAAGAAATATTTCAAGAAATATTGAAACTTGACGGATTGATACAATCAATTAATGTTACTTGGAAAAATGTCACGTATAGTTTTAACCATTTATGTGCCAAAAATTATGGAGTTTGTCAAGATAATAATTTGTTAGAATACGAAAAAAATATCCATCATTTTTCTGTAAATAAATTTTATATGAAATTTCCAGCTGAGATAAATTTACAGTTAATGGACTATAATCTTTCCGCCATTAATTTAGGAGGTGTTAAAGTAGATAAAAATGGCTTCGTTTTGGACGCTAAGGCCTTTCGTTTATTTTATTTTCTTGATAACAGCGATCCATTTAAAGATCATTTGGATGTTTTATTCGAAAAAGAATTCTTAAAGGCCATGGCACAACATACATCTGATGATTTAACTATAACAAAATTTGTTTCGTCGTCTTTTAATGAAGAAATCTGGCAATTTTCAATCAAAGCTTTAAAACTAAGCCCAATTCCTGTGTGCATAATAGTTACTTTCAGTGTTCTTTCGAGTATTAGTATGGAATTTGTAAGGAGCAAACCTTGGCTGGGATTAGCCGGATGCCTATTAGTTCCATTAGCTACACTACCTTCTTTTGGATTTGTAATATTTTGTGGATTTAAATGCACTCCTGTCAATATTATCGTTCCATTTTTGATTTTAGGTAAGATTTCAATAATACAGTTTAAAATAATACATATTTTTGAAAATTATTAAAATATACAAATCTTTTAGGTATTGGTGTGGACGATACGTTCGTGTTAATTGCAGCATGGAGAAGAACTAATCCAAAAGACAACGTTCAAATTAGGATGGGAGAGACTTATTCTGAAGCAGCTATGTCCGTCACAATTACTTCACTAACGAATTGTCTTTCTTTCATGATCGGTTTGATCACTCCCTTTCCAATAGTTCGTAATGTTTGTACTTTTGCTACCAGCGCGATCATCTTCACCTACATCTACCAGATCACTTTCTTTGGTGGTTGCATGGCTTTGAGTGGCTACAGAGAAGAAAAGAAGCTTCACCCAATTACTTTTAAGAAAGTAATTCCTATGAGAGAAGCAGGTAATTTATCTAAGAATAATTTATTAATATATTATAACAAAACAATTTTATTTTTAAATGCTTTTTTCCAGGTAATAGAGGGTATATATATAAATTGTTGTTTACCGAAGGATTCACTTCAAATTCAGCAGGAAATCCACCAAAATTGATGATTTGGTGTCGAGATAAGTTAGGTGGCTGGATGATCAAGAAATCGTCCAAGATCATTATTTTGTCTCTTTATATAACAGCTTTAACAACGGCAATTTATGGAATAACGATATTAAAAGAAGGAATAGAATACGGTGATATATTTCCAACAACTTCGTATGCTTCTTCGTATGCCATCAACTATAATCGCTATTTTACTGAATATCCTCACGCACTTCAAGTTGTTATTAGAGAAACTATGGATTATTCTAAGCCCGAAGTGCAAAGTAAAGTCTTAAATGTCATACAATCGTTTCAGAATAGCACATATATAGAGGAAAATTACATAACGTCTTGGCTAACATATTATTTATACTTCATCAAAGAACCACGGTTTTGGTTTTATAAAAAATCGTATAATTTCAGTGATCCAGAAGATTTTGTTCATTGCCTTCGAAACGTGTTCCTTCGCCATCCCGTTACGAAGATGTTTGAAAGAGATATCGTTTTTGACGAAGACGGTATTCGTATTTCTGCTTCGAGATTTATATTGCCTTCTAAACATGTAAATAATACCATATCAGAGAAGAATATGATGGCAAACATTAGAGCAAAAGCAGATGCTGCATCATTACCAGTAACAGTACACAACTTTTGGTGGATAGACTACGAACAATTGTTAGTAGCCGAAAAGTTAACTATACAATCCATAATTATAGCAGCATCAACTGTAGTTTTAGTGTTTTTTCTCTTCATACCAAACTTAGCGTGTGTCATTTGCATAATGTTTAACATTGTATCCATACAGGTTTGTATCCTCGGTTATATGGCATTTTGGAACGTAACTTTAAACCCTGTATCAGTTATAATTTTAATAGTATCCATCGGTTTATCTGTAGATTATTCGGCTCATATCTCTTACTCGTATTTAGAAGCAAAACAATTCAGCATTGAAGATCGAATTAAGCATTGTTTATTTGCTTCAGCCATGCCAATCATTCAGGGAACTCTGTCGACATTTTTCAGTGTAATGGTCACAGTTTTTATACCTTCTTATATATTTCTATCTTTCTTTAAAATTATATTTCTTTTAGTAATATTCTCATTTCTACACGGGTTGTTTATTATTCCAGTCATGTTATCTTCTATGCATTATATAGTGTACTCATTGAAAAGTAAAAACAAAAACAGAACTAAACATTACTCGAAAAGTACTAAAGAAAACCGTAATAAGGAATTGTTGACTGTTCTATCTTCAGTATAGAAAAATGGCAATCAAAGCATCAAAATTTCAATAAGATTCGTTCTATTCAATCTTATGCACTTAAAATATTCTGGAATTATTGTCAGTATATTTGCAGTTTATTTTAAGAAAGTAAATATATATTTTTAATATAAATCAAATGGAGGTAATACTTATAACTGAAAAAATAGATGGGTTTTTCAATCTATTATTTCATTTTTCACTCTTCACCCTGTTGACACTAATAGGACCAAATTATGTATGATTATACATTTACTCATTACGGGTTGGGTCAAGCCTACAATGGGCATGTCCGAGTAGTGAGGGCCTGACAAATCCGGTACAGATCATCCATGGAAAAATTTCTGGGGCTGCACGCTCGAGGTTTCGATTCCTGATCCTTCAGACTGCCTTAACTGGCCGTCAGTCCGTCTTTAAAATAACCTAACAGCGCACAATTCGAGCATGGAGTTAAGAATTTTACTGCTTATAAATGATGATATTTAGATGTAATAAAAACAATAAACCCCCGAGATATGAAAATTAAGGCATTCATTTTTGCCACGTACATGTTTTTATCTATTCCGAAAATTGTAATAACGTAATTCGTCCACTTCTCGGCTTTTTAGTGCTTTAATACTATTAAATCATACGGCGACTAATCTTGTTGTAGACTTATTAAGAAGAATAGGGCTTTGTAATTCTCTATACGACCATAATCTGTTAACTTCATTCCGAAATGGACCGTCGTTCTTATTAGGATACAATAATTAAACTTGGATCACATTAAAAGATATGATTCCATTACAACAGTTAAATAAATTGTACAAAATAAACAAAAATGTAAAGTTTTTCAGATTTTCACATGTAAAATTTTATATTATTTTTTAAATTATGTGTGGATAAATATAATTCAATGGAAGGAAATAAATCTATCACATTCTATTATATAAATTTATCTAAAGAGTCTACATTTAATTTTTTATATTATTATAACTACTGTATTATGTCAGATGTACAGTACTTATTTAACGTAACCATTAAATTTGTAATATTTGTAAATAAATATTGATTTATACTGAATACAATCGTACCCAGCAAAAATAAACAAATAACGTAACCAACACCTTGTTGCTTGCTGAGGGAGTTTTATTAAAATCGAACGTTTTCGATCCACTTAACGGATCATCATCAGGCAAGAATATACGAAAATGGAATACATCATAAATGGAATAATAAGTTCAAAAATTCAAAATATCAATAAACTGATAACATATCAATTAATAAAAATAAAAAATAAAAAAAATAAATAAAAAATAATAAATTGTAAACGATACCAAATAATAAATAATATACTACAACGACTACACATTAATACTAAGTTTCCTTTAAATCAAATAATTATCATATTTCAGTTGTTGCGCTACTTGTAAGCTTCTTAACGGCAAATTTCCAAGCCGAGGGAAGACCCTCCGCATCCCTAGCATTAATGCAACTGTCCTTAAGTTTGCTCCTATATATCTCCATTTTTTCGGCCGTCTTCGCCAAAGTTGGTGAGTGTACTTGTCTCACGACTTCCGCTTCCTCCCATCCAATCAGGGATCCTTGGGCCTGCGCCATCTGGGCCAAAATTGTTGTATTATAAAGGGGTTGTTAAAAAAGAAGATAAGGCAGGTGTTTACAAGATTCCCTACGAGAACCAGCTATTAGGAATAAAAAAAGATTACATAGGAGTTACCACCAGAAGCCTCGGGGTACGGATTAGAGAACATAAGTATGATGCTAGAAAAGGGTCTAATACAACAATTTTGGCCCAGATGGCGCAGGCCCAAGGATCCCTGATTGGATGGGAGGAAGCGGAAGTCGTGAGACAAGTACACTCACCAACTTTGGCGAAGACGGCCGAAAAAATGGAGATATATAGGAGCAAACTTAAGGACAGTTGCATTAATGCTAGGGATGCGGAGGGTCTTCCCTCGGCTTGGAAATTTGCCGTTAAGAAGCTTACAAGTAGCGCAACAACTGAAATATGATAATTATTTGATTTAAAGGAAACTTAGTATTAATGTGTAGTCGTTGTAGTATATTATTTATTATTTGGTATCGTTTACAATTTATTATTTTTTATTTATTATTTTTTTATTTTTTATTTTTATTAATTGATATGTTATCAGTTTATTGATATTTTGAATTTTTGAACTTATTATTCCATTTATGATGTATTCCATTTTCGTATATTCTTGCCTGATGATGATCCGTTAAGTGGATCGAAAACGTTCGATTTTAATAAAACTCCCTCAGCAAGCAACAAGGTGTTGGTTACGTTATTTGATTTATACACTCAAAAAATTATTTATTAATTCTTTTTACGTTTATCATATTTAAATAGCATTATACTAAACATAGATTATTACTTTTGTGGTCTCTATACTTTTGTAGTACAATAGAAATGGAAGAGAATTCTGCAAATATTTACACAATTAAATTAATTTCTGTACGAATTAAAACATATGTTTAACTTTTTTCCTGATAGAAGGACCCAAACAAAACAGTTTCTTGTTGGAATTTTGAATTCCATAATTCCTCACAGAGCCAAGGCGTTAAATTCAAAGTGTATTTCTAATCCAAATACGTTAGGAAACACTGCTCTGGAGAACATGGGTTCGAGTTTAAATGGAAACCTCCGAAAATTTACTTGAGACATATCCCATTCCTCACCCGAAGACGTTCATTCCATTACGGATTTGAAATAAACGCCCTGTCATTGCCTACAGGGCGAAGAGTAAATAAATTAACAACATGAGGCAATTTCATGCCAACACTCTAATGATAATACATTGAAATGAGAATCCACGATTCACATTATTAATAATATATAATATAGTGCTCAGCATATTAAAAATAAAGAGAAAATCCCTAATAGCGTGCAGTAAACAATAGATAAAACATTATTTTTAGCAGCATTGTTTAAACTAGTATTATTAACTATTAAAAGAATGGGTAGCATCGGAAATCATCCTCAGCACGAAAATAGTAAATTCTCCAACATCTTATTTGCTAAAGAAAAAAGAATAATAATTTTTCACGGACGTTTTCAAATCTGCACGCTATCATTACAAATCGAACGTTGTAAATCGAACGTTTTCAAACATCGGAACAATGTTTAGATAGAAAGAATGGACAGCTTCATCGAAAATAGAAATATTCAGCAAAATACTATTTTGGAGTTTCTGTTTATTTCAAATCAACCTTATCCCTGGATCATGTTCGAAGGTGGCTTTCCACATAATTTTCCAAAATCTCCTCTCTATCTGCTAACAAAAGTTCAATTTTTCATTATATGTATTCATATCTTTCGTAAGCATTTTAAACCTGAATATTTAATACATTTATTTATTCCAATAATTAATTATCTCGGATTGCGCTATATATTTCGAGTGAGTATTTATTTATTTTTTGATATAAAGGTATTCTTTATTTTTATATTACCATTTTACAATAATATTTCTTCTTCAGATATTTTATTATTTAGCATTCGTTAGTCTGCTTAATAGACGCATGTGGCCCAACTACCTCTGGTTTAATTACAGAATAGCGAGAACATATTATCCATATACTTCGATATTCATTATGAATTTGATCGTCATTTTAAAACTACTAAATTGTCATTAAGAAGAAAAGAAAGTTTCCATTTAGAAAATGCGTATGAATTTCTAGGTTCGAATTTTTTTATATTATTTCGTATATGTTTGTTTATTTTTTAATGTTTTAATACTTTTTAATGTTTTTAATACTAGATCCATTTAAAAACCATACTTGGTGCCTGTTAAAAGTACAGTACATCACATCCCAAGCATAAAATGAAGACAAAGTCATCATTATTGATCACTTCTAGTGAATCGTCGTATATTTTTGTACGTGAATCTATTACTTTACTAGAATTTAAAATGAAATTTTACTTGAATAAATATGAGCAGAAGAAAATATACTTTTGGAAAAGGAATACAGTATATAAATTTTTATCAAATTTATGTAATCGATAGAGAATAAAAATAAGAACATTTAAATTAAAATAGTAAAATAAATTTGATTCTGGTTAATTGATTAACATGAGTAATTACTTTTCACATTAATGTATACGGTTTACGAGCAGATGTGGCATGAAATGATCATGCCTACTCTTAAAGGATACAGTCGGCTAGCACGAGCGTGGAATAGGGTTTGTTCTCAAAAAAATTAAGGAGAGTCTTGATCGATATACAATATTGTTCCAAAAATCATTTACAGTCGAACCTGCCTATCTCGAATTTCACGGAAACGAGAAAAAAATTCGATATAGATAATGAGGTTCCTACGCACTAAACAGTACTAGGTTTGATACAGTAGCATGGGCGTTCACAGAAAATTTTCCAGGAGGGAGCAGAGCTTGGAGACAATTACATCAATAAATCTTTATGTAATTATTTAATTTTTGGAGATTTTTTCACAAGTGGATTATAGAAGACAGGATTGCATAAAAGGTTCCCGTGGTCGAGGGAATAAGAGGTATCTTAATCACTTTTACGATTATAATTTTATTAAATATTTTACTATGTGGACTCTCATGTACAATAGAACAAAGAACTTTATTCAGAAATTCGTATTTATATAAAGGGAGAACGATAAATAACCAGCCGGGACAACCAGTCCTACTGTTGCTTTTGTCTGGTTATTTATTGATCTACTCTTGTATTAAAATAATTCGTCTAATTTATTACTACGACAATTTCCTCAACTCTCCTTAATAGCTTTTAAAATTCTTCAAATATTATTGTAAGAAAAGCTTAAATTATTACATTAAAAAAAAAAACTTATTTGCGTGGAGGAAAAAATAAATACAATTCTTCATTTTATTTTTCTTGTATTACATTTTTATAATTCCATTAAATGCGAAAAATAGTATTAAAAACAATATTTTCAAGTATTTTTTTTATTTTAATCCAAGGTTATTTTGAAATGTTTTAAATAAATTTTCTTCCGAGAATTAGCGTAAAAGAATAAAGGTGTAATTAATTTTTTTTATTAACTACCTTATAGAAGTAGAATTTCTTTATAAATTATTTTTTAAAAAATTTGAAGGACGTATTTAATGATTTTAATGCAAATTATAAACAGAAAATTGTGATCGGCGAATCGATTTATTTCATAATTGAAGTATGATTGGAAATGACACTAAAACTGTGGAATTCAGCACGACATAAATGATGCATGATTTAATAATTATAGTGTGAAATATCATACGTCATATTACATCACACTAATGCGTGAATTATCCAATTATAGGTCATTTATGACGTATGATTTAATAATTATTCTTACGTAAAAACACTAAGAAAACAATTAAAAGTTTGAATTTTAGCATAGTAACATAGCATAAGTTAAATTAAAAGAAATCTATTTAAACTGTGGTTCTTAACCATGGACCACTGAAAGCACCCGAAGTGGTCCGTGAAGTTATCCCAAAATTATTAAATAAATGACGACGAGTTGATGACAATGCGCAGTATGTCAAGGTTAGAGCCAATAGCGGACTGGGCTGAGGTATGGTGTGTGGTCAGGAAATATGAAATTGGAAGGCACTAGCAATAAATTTGCATTTGAAGATAAAATCAGTGCGTTTATCGCTAAAATCGACCTATGGATCAGCAAAGTCGAAAGAGAGAATTTTTCTGCGTTTGATACATTGAACCCAATTATTGATTGATAGTGTGCCGAGATTAAAGGAGAAATACAAAAGAACATTACATTCCATTTGCAAAGTTTAATCGCTATTTCCTGACTGCAAGGACAAAGGTATTCGGAAACTGATTTGCAATCCTTTCATAGTCAACATTTCTGAGGTGCCGGATGAAATACAAGAAGAGTTAATTGAAATGCAACATGATAGTAACTGTAAGGATACATTCGAGACAGGAATTAATCTTAAAGATTTTTTTTTATTCTGATGAAACCGTGTTGTAGTGTGTCTGTATAAAGCAACTTAAAGATTTTTGGTTTTGCTTTCCCTAAAATTAGAGAAATTGCTTTACAGTACCTAACTTTATTTTCAACCACATATTTATGCGAGCAAGGATTCTCAGTGCTTTTGATAATTAAAAATAAACATCGAAATCAGTTGGATGCCAGTGCCGACATGCGTTTGCTTTAAGTAGCACTGAACCAAGAATTCAACAGTTGGTAAACAGTATGCAGTCACAAAAATCGCACTAAAATAATATAATTAATGCAACACTTTCTCAAATAATATAATACTCTTGGTTCCGAATAATTGTTTAATTTATAGAACAACCTTATAAGAACGTATATTACTGCCAAACAGCTCGTGGTCCATGGCAAGACAAAAATTTTGATAAATGGTCCCTCATCACTAAAAGGTTAAGAACCACTGATTTAAAAAATTGTGCAAAAAGAGTGTGGCGCAAATTATAGCTTCATGGGACCCAGGAGAATTTGAATTAGGAGTCCCCACGTATAGTATTGACATTTTTCTTTGAGGGAATGTCTTGGGGAAATATTTTCTTGTATATTGGTTTGGGCCCCTGTTGGTGGAGTTCCCCATGCAATTGCTCTAGGATAACGTTCCATTGCAAAAAAAGAACACAGTAAAACTTCAGAAGCCTGTACATTCTTGTCACTAATTATTAATTAAAAATGAATCATTTTTATCTTTCAGCGATTTTTACACCCTTCAAATCTATGTTTACCGAAGTTTCCCGAATATCGGTTTCGTAAAGCTCACATTTTCATGAAAACGTACCATTTTAAATTTCTGCAAATGGAACAAGGTATAACGGACCTCTTTGCAACATAGGAATTTCACGCAAACCAAGGATTATTTAGATTTTAAGCAATGAAGTTCACACAAACAAGTTGTAGTCATTTAAAACCCTTTTTTTATTCTAGTCAGGACTGATAGCGGACGACTTGAAGAAATTGGTTAACAAAAACAATGTAAACTCCAACAGTGTTCATCACATGTGAGCAAGCACGTAGATTAAATAAAGAATGGAAAAAGGAAAGAATCGGTAATTATAAAATTTAATTTAAAAAAATTGGATGGAAAGGCTCCGGATCTATCAAACTGTTGCCAAAAAACGGTTTGCATGCATGAAGCGCCGCATGTGGTATCATGAAGTTTGCATGGGAGCATTCGGCCGAAAAAATTGTATATAGTCATATCGCTTTTAATAGTAAATAAAAGCTTTCCCTTAACGATGCTGTTTATGGTTGATTCATCATCCACTACCATCATTAACAAAACTTTGCTATACTACCCCACACAGTGGAACACAGCCTATATTTTTAATATGCAATAATTAGATTAAGAATAGTTATATTGTTTTAATTTTTTAAATTTATGCATTAAAAATATATTTTAAGTTAGTAAAGTGTATTTTTTTTACAAAAGAAAACACCCTTAAATGTTTTATGCCTCTCTATCCTACTCTATTTATTTAGTTTTCGTTCAGTGTTGCAATTTGTGGGGCTCAAGAGAGTGGTCCAATCTCTTCTTTTTAGGGGTAAAGAAGAAGAGATTGTTTTATTTTCGTTTTTATTTGGTGGTATTTTTTACTTCAGTATTTTTTCAGTCAGTAAATAACCCCAAACAATACTTCCAATTTTTAAAAAATATATACGTTCTCTAATCCAGACACACAGGGCCACGGCCGAATGGATGTTTAGTTTTATAGAATCACAATAGTTAGGGGAAAGAAATAAAATTTTAGTAGATTTATAAAAAAAATAGTAATAGGGTAAATTATATCCTATAATTTATATAATAAAAATGCCACTACGGTATAATAAAAATTGACCTTTTGCCCGCGAACTCTCATGCCCTTCTTTTTTCATAATTTTTTTCGCTTTTGTCCTCCTTTTTCATCATGTATATTTATTAACCTTAATCTCTTACTCTCACGGGCTATTGCAACACAGAGTTTAGTTTAGTATTGTCTTTTTTTTTTTTTTTTTTTATATTTCACAGTGCTACAACGTTGACATCAGAAGTGTAAGTATCGTCTTAGATTTATATAAAAACGGATATAGAAATGTTATAACATATGCATTACTATATCATATAAGTTATAATGAGATGACATATTTGATATTCTATCGGAAAAATAACAAAAATAATAGCATAAATATTTTTTAAAAATAGGTAAATAATGGTAAAGGATCTTGAGCAACTTTCTCCGCACTCAGGTTAAAGGAAGTTCCATAAATTTTCAATTATAACCTACTAGGATATAAAATTTAAGCAATAAACACAATCTTAAAGGTGTAAATTTTGCTGAATTATGATAAAAATCTTAGTTTAGAAAAATATTTAAGTTTAAAAAACGCTATGACTCTAGTTCGAAGTTAAAATTGTGTAGAAAAATAATCATCCATTATGAGATATTATTAAAACAATTCTTACCGTATATTTTTAATTATTATAAAAAGGCTTAATTTTGAGGGTAGAGATGCATTTTTTAAAATATTATAAATGCCAATAACGAATAAAATTTTTATTAATCCGGACAACACGCCAGATGTAACACATGATCCCCTTTTTCTCTCCACCCCCTTGAGTTACATACTTCAAAATTTAATCGCATCAATTTCTCTTATATAAAAGTTTTCTTGCCAAATTTCGTTTCTTAATCTTTATTCCATCTTCAGATATTAAACGAAATAGACGGCAACACACACGGGATTTTTTCCATTTTTTTATTTTTTATTTTTTTTTATTAGTTCAGAGGCTTCAATATGTCTCTATGCTATTGATATAATTGAGATATTATATTTAAGATTAAAAACATAGCAAAGAAATGAAATTTCAGATACTTTATGACATAAAAGTCATTTACTGATATATTGCAATTATTTACCCCATCTGTTGGCGAAAATTGCAATTATTTACATATCAATATAAATTATCGTTAGTTTTTCTTCTGTCCAAATTATGTTACCGTATTTTCGCTCAAATAAGGACATGCACTTATACAAAGGCCAAAATTGGGACTATATTCCGAAAAGTACTTTAAAAATTTACTATTTTAAGCTTTTATACAACATTGTTTATTTTGGCTTTTTATTTTTAATAATGTGACTGAATAGTTATTGTGTCAGTACAGTACATGCACAGTACGTTTGATACAGAAGTGCAGTGTTCTTATGCCTCATACTCTGTATAAAAACGGTATGCTCTTATAAGTAAAGCAGAACTTCTGTGCCTGGAAAACAAGCGATTTTCACATATGCATGCTACTTGCGTGGAAATACGGTAACATTTATTGTCTGAAACATAATAATAATAATAATAAATCCAGCAACGAGTTGTCTGACTATCCCGTCAACATTTAAAACTGCGTATGTGGCACCATCNCTATTTTTAAATGCTTTTTTCCAGGTAATAGAGGGTATATATATAAATTGTTGTTTACCGAAGGATTCACTTCAAATTCAGCAGGAAATCCACCAAAATTGATGATTTGGTGTCGAGATAAGTTAGGTGGCTGGATGATCAAGAAATCGTCCAAGATCATTATTTTGTCTCTTTATATAACAGCTTTAACAACGGCAATTTATGGAATAACGATATTAAAAGAAGGAATAGAATACGGTGATATATTTCCAACAACTTCGTATGCTTCTTCGTATGCCATCAACTATAATCGCTATTTTACTGAATATCCTCACGCACTTCAAGTTGTTATTAGAGAAACTATGGATTATTCTAAGCCCGAAGTGCAAAGTAAAGTCTTAAATGTCATACAATCGTTTCAGAATAGCACATATATAGAGGAAAATTACATAACGTCTTGGCTAACATATTATTTATACTTCATCAAAGAACCACGGTTTTGGTTTTATAAAAAATCGTATAATTTCAGTGATCCAGAAGATTTTGTTCATTGCCTTCGAAACGTGTTCCTTCGCCATCCCGTTACGAAGATGTTTGAAAGAGATATCGTTTTTGACGAAGACGGTATTCGTATTTCTGCTTCGAGATTTATATTGCCTTCTAAACATGTAAATAATACCATATCAGAGAAGAATATGATGGCAAACATTAGAGCAAAAGCAGATGCTGCATCATTACCAGTAACAGTACATAACTTTTGGTGGATAGACTACGAACAATTGTTGGTAGCCGAAAAGTTAACTATACAATCCATAATTATAGCAGCATCAACTGTAGTTTTAGTGTTTTTTCTCTTCATACCAAACTTAGCGTGTGTCATTTGCATAATGTTTAACATTGTATCCATACAGGTTTGTATCCTCGGTTATATGGCATTTTGGAACGTAACTTTAAACCCTGTATCAGTTATAATTTTAATAGTATCCATCGGTTTATCTGTAGATTATTCGGCTCATATCTCTTACTCGTATTTAGAAGCAAAACAATTCAGCATTGAAGATCGAATTAAGCATTGTTTATTTGCTTCAGCCATGCCAATCATTCAGGGAACTCTGTCGACATTTTTCAGTGTAATGGTCACAGTTTTTATACCTTCTTATATATTTCTATCTTTCTTTAAAATTATATTTCTTTTAGTAATATTCTCATTTCTACACGGGTTGTTTATTATTCCAGTCATGTTATCTTCTATGCATTATATAGTGTACTCATTGAAAAGTAAAAACAAAAACAGAACTAAACATTACTCGAAAAGTACTAAAGAAAACCGTAATAAGGAATTGTTGACTGTTCTATCTTCAGTATAGAAAAATGGCAATCAAAGCATCAAAATTTCAATAAGATTCGTTCTATTCAATCTTATGCACTTAAAATATTCTGGAATTATTGTCAGTATATTTGCAGTTTATTTTAAGAAAGTAAATATATATTTTTAATATAAATCAAATGGAGGTAATACTTATAACTGAAAAAATAGATGGGTTTTTCAATCTATTATTTCATTTTTCACTCTTCACCCTGTTGACACTAATAGGACCAAATTATGTATGATTATACATTTACTCATTACGGGTTGGGTCAAGCCTACAATGGGCATGTCCGAGTAGTGAGGGCCTGACAAATCCGGTACAGATCATCCATGGAAAAATTTCTGGGGCTGCACGCTCGAGGTTTCGATTCCTGATCCTTCAGACTGCCTTAACTGGCCGTCAGTCCGTCTTTAAAATAACCTAACAGCGCACAATTCGAGCATGGAGTTAAGAATTTTACTGCTTATAAATGATGATATTTAGATGTAATAAAAACAATAAACCCCCGAGATATGAAAATTAAGGCATTCATTTTTGCCACGTACATGTTTTTATCTATTCCGAAAATTGTAATAACGTAATTCGTCCACTTCTCGGCTTTTTAGTGCTTTAATACTATTAAATCATACGGCGACTAATCTTGTTGTAGACTTATTAAGAAGAATAGGGCTTTGTAATTCTCTATACGACCATAATCTGTTAACTTCATTCCGAAATGGACCGTCGTTCTTATTAGGATACAATAATTAAACTTGGATCACATTAAAAGATATGATTCCATTACAACAGTTAAATAAATTGTACAAAATAAACAAAAATGTAAAGTTTTTCAGATTTTCACATGTAAAATTTTATATTATTTTTTAAATTATGTGACGATATTAAAATTTTATACATCTTGTTTCCTTTCTTTTTATCTTACGGTTGACTAAAATCAATTTTAAAGTACGCGTCATATAATCATGGAGTAATAAAAATCTCCCCTTGGTGAAAATTAAAGGTCATAATATAAATTTATTGACGGAATCGAGAAAGTGAATAAACTTATTTTTAAAACAATTTACTTACTTGGCAACAAATATTTATAAATTTTGTTTGAGATCGTTCAAAATTCTCTTGTTTCTTCTCGTGATATAGCTTGAAATTAAACGATTTACGAAACAATTCGTTAGCCTTAAAAAAAAAATGGCGGATGTTCTGGAACGTTCGAGAAAGCAGACGAACTCGTATCGCGTGCGTGCGCATTAAACAAAAGCAGACGAACTTTCTCTCACGCGCGCGCGTTCTTTCGTTAGCAATTTATTATTTGTCCTAAAACACAAACTTTCTAAAATGAAATTTTAAAAATGTATTATTACGTAATATTATATTTGAAGTATTTATACAGTCTCGTTGTCGCGATTAATTTAAAAGAAAAAAATATATATATATTAAAAAAGAAACGATAATAGGAGGCGCGATGACGCGTAAAGCAAACTACTCTAGCGTTATTTTGTTATAAAAATAATTGTATTGATATTTATTCAACGTACAAATTTTTTCGAGTGTAAAAAATATTACCTATTTTTATATTTTTACAATAATACAATTATTGATACAATTAATTTATAAAAATAATTAAAAAAAGATTCTAATAATGATAATTGCGCGCGCGTCGAGTTTAAATAAAATAAATTTACTCTCGTGCAATTTCGTTTAAAATTTATTATTCTCGTTAATATTTATTTAAAACGAGAATTTTTTTAATGTAAAAATGCGTCATAAATCTAAATTTACGTAACTTTGTAGCGTATTTAAAAATTTTTATATTGTCTCGTCGACGCGACTAATTTAAAAATAGAAAAAAAAGCAAACAATAATATTAATCACCGCGCGTGAGATTACGTATAAAACAAAAATACTCTGGAGCAAACTCGTTTGAAACATTACTTTCATTGATATTTCTTTAACGTAAATTTATTTAATAAAATAATATATATTATGTATATAAAATAAATTTTTTGCATTAAAAAATTTTATACAACTCCAAAAACGCGAATAATTAAAAATAATAGTAAAAAAAACAGACGATAATATTAATAAAAGCGCGCGCGATGACGTGTAAAACAAAATACTGTACTCTCGTGCAAGTTTGTTTAAAATATTATTCGCCCTAATTATTCAATTTGTTTAATATAAAAATATATTAAGTGCATAAAATGAAAATATTTTATATTTAAAATATTTTTAACACTCAAAAACGCGAATAATTTAAAAAAAATAGTAAAAAAACAGACGATAATAACCATAACGCGCGCGCGTCGCGCGTTAAGCAGACGAACTTTAATCTCGTCCAAGCGACATTTTTTTCGAACCTTTATTTTTTTCTATTCCTTAAACTTTATTAATGTACGATACGAACGAAAGTAGGAGTTAAAAACGCGTAGGAATTGTAAATTCGATTAGAATCTATGTATTTTTACGAATAAAAAAACGTTTTTTTTGTATATTTTCAGGGAGTTAGAAGTGGGAATCGGATAGGGAATGTCTGGCACGGTTTGCCAGTCTAAGCCTAACGTTAGGGGAGGAGGAAAGAAAGTTCGGACATGGCCCTATCGTGGCCGCGGTTGGACGGACCTTATAAGGTTGGCTTGTACGAACAGTAGCGTCGATCGACCGCCTTCGTCTTTAGAAGCAGAGGAGTGCGCGGCAGCAATAAGGACGCCATCGGTGCGTCGCTACACCACACTCCGCCGGTGGTTATCGAATTGTACGGATGGTGAATGGATACGGGATTTCCTTCGTCACCATGGTCTAGCCATTCTACTCGATTCTTTGCGTTCTTTGTGTGCCTACACGGATTTCCACAACGCTCTTCTTCAAATTGAATGTGTCAATTGCGTCCGGGCGGTTATGGATTCGCGACTTGGTTTGGATTACATCGTCGAGAACGGCGAATACACGCAGAAACTGGCTACCGGTACGTATTACTTTCTAACTTTAATTCATTTTTTAACACCTTCCACACTTATCATCGATTTTCGATCGCATCTATCCTCCCGCTCCTCTTCTCTAATCGATACCGGATGCTTTAAACTTACGCTCTTCGCCTCGTTGCGAATTACGCGCCATTATTTTCGATTATTTACAATTTACGTAAACGAATATTTTTCCATTCCGTTCTATTTTTTCCCCCTTAAAAAATCGCCTTTGGTGTGCGGATGACGTTAACGCCATCTCTTAGCGGGCGTCGGTATTAAGTGTGTCATATAGGCGATTTTTTAAGGTTTTATATATATTTTGGCTTGGAAAAATATTTAGGAGGTGGCCACGATCGATGACGACGATTTTTCGATGAAGTTATTAACTTTAATTCTGATTTTTTCGTTAAAAAATACATTTATGCTTATCGGGAGTGTGACGGAATGCGCGGTATCGATGGAGTTCGATGCTGTATTACCGTTTCGTTACGAAAATTAAATGCATTTTTTTACATTGTTTAGATCGAATGTCGGTAATTTAAGGAAAAAAATTGCAAAATAACGCTTCTGCACCGAAAAAATGTGTGTTGGAGCGCGGAAGTCGTATTAATTCGCCTTCGATTATTGCCTATTACGGTATAATAAAGGTAAAAGCCAGTGTAAAGTAGATGATGGCAGAACGTGCCGGATAATAATTTAAATAGAGAATTTCTGTTTATATTAAAAAGAATAACATTACAGGGTAGAGAAAGTATTAATTTTCTCCATTAAATTTCGCCTTCTCTTATTTTGATTAAAAATAACTCGGCGTAAATTAATTTTTTCCCTTTTCCTTACGCTTCGGTTAACCGTCTTTTGTCGAGGTTTGTGTCTTTTCGGATGAGGTAATCCGCGCGATTCTTCGCCCCCCCCGACATTTCGCGGATTCGAATATGCCGGGCAGTCACGTGACTCCGCTGCCAATTTAAAATTTTTCTATCGAATTAACCGTAGATACGCTAAACACGTGACGTATACGCTTCCCGCTAATGGCTTTTAAATTGTGGTCACGTGGAAATTAATTGCAAATTCTCTCGTATTGTTTTTTTTCCACACAATGAATCGTAACTGCTAATTACGTGCCGGGTTATTTTTAAATTATTTCACACTCCACGATTATATTGTAGATTTTTGTATATTTATTATTTTAAATTCAAATATCGGCGTCGAAAATCGAATGTAAAAGATTAACGACGAACGAAATCGATCGATGTAACACGTAGATAATAGAAGTAACGGCTTAGAACTCGAAAATTTCCATTGAATTTTCGTTTGTGTAAGCCCGAAATATGATCGAATGAATAATTTCCGTCTTCGCAATTCTCTTTCCAAGTTTTGGAATTTAAATTCGAGTGCGTGACGAACGGAATATATGCTCGTCGACGGTATTACCACTAAATTAAGTTAGATTCGAGCGCAGTTTCTTTAAATAAAAAACAATTTCTCTGGCACGTTCTCCTTACATTTTTAATGAATTAATCATAAATATGCCCTCTCGTAGAAAATTACAGAATCCTAGTCTGTATTTGAAATCCGATTTGTTGACGTAACACGGCGAGCCGTTACGTAAACGGATTGATTCCCTTCTCGCGCGGCACCTATGGAAAAATCATTCGCCCACTCCGATTATCATAATTAATTCGGTTTTAAATTTACGTCATTTGGCACGTTAAGGATTACTTAAGCTACAATAAATAACTAATTTGTCCTTGTTTAAGGTTTGTTACCCCCGATATAAATCGAACGGTTTCCCACGCTTATCTATTTTCATTAGCGAATTAGCTAATTCGTTTTAATTAAATAATAGATGAGGGCATTTATATACGAGTTACGTCGCGATCGTTATATCGAAGTTTCCGGTAACGTTCGGCAATTTCCAAAACGATAATTAATGTATTGTATTAATTACGCGCGCCTTGTTACGGGTGGTCGGGTNTTTTTTTTTTTTTTTTTTTATATTTCACAGTGCTACAACGTTGACATCAGAAGTGTAAGTAT